CCTGCTGTGCTCTGGCAATCCTTCCGCCTCAGCCTTCCAAGTAGCCGGAATTACAGGCATGCGCTACCATGCCCAGCTGGTTTTTTTATTTATTATAGAGATGAGGTCTCGCTGCCCAGGCAGGTCTCGAACCTGCGGGCTCAGGCGATCCACTCATCTCAGCCTCCCAAAGCCTATCGTTGCATATCTTTATCCTCCTGCTCACAAAATTTAAATCTTCAGTATTCTAAAAACTTTGTCCTCTTCCTGCTGAGGTAGAGCCTGCTTGTGATTTTTTTTTTTTTTTTGAGTTAAAGTTGTACTGTCAACCAGACTGGAGTGCAGTGGCACATTCAGGGCTACCTCAACTTCAGCCTGCTGAACTACAGTCACATGCCATCATGCCTGGCTAATTTTTTTTATTTATTGTAGAGACGAGGTTTCACCAAATTGTCCGAAGTGGTCTTTAGCACCTGGGCTCAGGCAGTCCTCTTGCCTCTGCCTCCCAAAGTGCTGGAATTGCAGCATGAGCCACTGCACCCATTGCTGGTTTTGTATTTTTGTATTTTTGTATTTTGTATTTTTATATCTCTTCTTATGGCTTTTATTCCTTCTTATATTAAGTTACTTTTTTTCTTGAGTTGGAGTCTTACTCTGTTACCCAGACAGGGGCACAGTGGCCGTTCCCAACCACTTAGCCTCAACCTGCTGGGCTCCAGCTATCCTTCCGCCTCAGCCTTCCAAGTAGCTGGAACTACAGGCGCGCGCTACCACACCTGGCTAATGTTTTTGATTTATTGTAGAGATGAGGTCTCACCAAGTTGCCCAGGCGGGTCTCCAACCTACGGGCTCAGGCAGTCCACTCACTTAAGTTACTTTTAATGTTTCTAAACTATATGCAGTGTATACCCTTGAGGTCAATTTAACTTCTTTCTTTAGATTATTCACATTTAAGACTTTTAAGTGAGTTTCTCCCTTATTGCCACTTTTCTTTCTTCGTTCTTTTTTTTTTTTTTTAATTTTGAGTTGGAGTCTCACTCTGTCACCCAGACTGGAGTGCAGTGGCACACTCACAGCCACTGCAGCCTCGACTTGCTGGGCTCAGAGAAGAGTTAATTCTAAGGTAAAATGTTCTTTTAGCTTATCCTTCTGTCTCAGCCTTCCAAGTAGCTGGAACTACAGGCACGTGCCACCACGCCTGGCTAATTTTTTGATTTATTGTAGAGATGAAGTCTTGCCAAGTTGCTCATGCTGGTCTCGAACCCAGAGGCTCAGGTAGTCCTCTCACCTCAGCATCTCAAAGTGCTGGGATTATAGGTGTGAGCCAGCGTGCCCAGCCCAGATTTTTCCCTTATTAATTCCCTTGATGATTTTAAACCAACTGCTACTTATCTCACTAGTCTGTGCTTTCTTTCCTCTTGATATGGATGCTCTTGCTTGAGTTTTTATATTTTTCTATTCTATTAAAATAATTAGAATTTGTGTAGCCTCCACAAAAGAGCTTTTTATACATCTCCAAACACTTGGTGAACTCCTGTCTCATAGCTTGTGGGAGACATAAAAGAGTATGGCCCTTCTTTATAGAGGGTGGATTTGCTTGGTGTTAGGAGGGTTTTTTGTTGTTATTTTGTTGTGGTATTAATAAATCTCATAGCAAGCCTATTTTAATGATTATAAAATTGTTATTTTTCTTTTTTTTTTTTTTTTTTTTGAGTTGGAGTCTCACTCTGTCTGTCACCCAGGCTGGAGTGTGTGGCATGCTCATGGCCACCACAGCTGGGCTCCAGCGATCCTTCTGTCTCAGCCTTCCAAGTATCTGGAACTATAGGCGTGTGCCATCACACCCAGCTAAATTTTTGATTTATTGTAGAGTTGAGGTCTCGCCAACTCCCAGGCTGGTCTTGAACCTCTGGGCTCAGGCAATCCTCTCGCCTCTGCTTCCCGAAGTGCTAGGATTACAAGCATGAGCCACTGTGCCTGGCATAAAATTGCTTTTTAAAAGTATCTTTTTTTTAGCTATAGTTGAAGTGCAACATGAAAACATGATTCTAAGGAAGCTTGGTTATCAGCCATTTGGGGCAGGGTACTTTCCATTAGGAGTTGTTTAAACATAGGACTGAGGAATATTTATTGCTAATAGCAGCTAGTAGTATATATATTGAACGTAGAGGATATAATAAGGAAAAAAGATCCTCTTGTAGTGTGACAGCATATGGCATTTATGTTTCTGCCAGTTAGATGTGGTTGTTAAAGTATAGTCTTAAGAACTTTTAGATTCTTTCTCCCTTTTTTTACAGGCTCTAATTAATATTACTTTGAGAGAGTCTTGTGGTATTTTCACAAAAGAGCCAAAATGAGGAACCTTCAGTCCATTATAATTATTAGCACATTTCTAACATACCTTTTGTTTTAGATGAACAACATATACAAAAATGGTAGTAGGGTTTTGATTCAGCTTCTGAATTCCAGGATTGTCCTGAGTATGTGATGCCATAATGAATCTGGAGTATGATCTCACCCGAAGGAGCATGCTTGGCATGTTCTCTGTGTATCTCAACTTATTATTGGCTAAGCTAGATATATAATTATCTCAAACTTAAAAATCATCCAGCAAAATTCTCAGTATTACTTAAATCTATGCTTGTGTAGTTGTCTAGTTTATTTAACAAAGCTGTTTTAGTATAACAATTTATGTATTCATTTTTGTACTAGATGGAAACAATATGAAGCATATGTACAAGCTTTGGAGGGCAAGTACACAGATCTTAACTGTAAGTTTGCGTTGTCGTTTCCTAAACATTATGCGAACTGTCTCCTTTTAGATTGTCAGTATAAACCTGGGATAATCGGTTTTACTAATGCAAGCGTAATTTTTTTTAATTTTTTTGAGTTGGACTCTCACTCTGTCACCCAGACTGGAGTGCAGTGGCCACTCCCGGCCACCGCAGCCTCGACCTGCTGGGCTCCAGCATCCTTCCGCCTCAGCCTTCCAAGTAGCTGGAACTACAGGCGCGTGCTACCATTCCTGGCTAATTTTTTATTTATTGTAGAGATGAGGTCTCGCCAGGTTGCCCAGGCAGGTCTCGAACCCGCAGGCTCAGGCAATCCACTCACCTCAGCCTCGCAAAGGCACAGGATTACAGGCTGAGCCACCGAGCCCGGCTGCGAGTGGAATTTTTAAAGCATTTTAGTAGGACTATGTTCAGGCACTATGCTGGATATTGGAAAATACAAAGATGAAAAAACACAGTTTCTCTTGATTAGTTCCCAGTCAGTGAGGAAGACAGATGTGTGATACTCATAATGGTATGAGTTGTAGCAAAATTACATGCAAGGTTCTGAGAGAGTTTAGATAAGGTAACTCACAAATACTTGAGGCTTTTCTTGATCTGTTTTTAACACCTTTTACATAGGGATTTGAATTGAAGCATGAGTAGTATTTTTCAAAGGTACATGTTTGATAAATGGACATATTATATATTGGTGGGGATTGGGTTTCAGGTGAACCATTCCTCAGATAATGAACATTGTGCCCAATAGTTAACTTCTGAACCCTAGCCCTCCCCGCCTTCTCCCTTCTAATGTCCCCAGTGTCTTTCCAGCGTTTTGGACATTCACCTCCCACATATACATGAGAATATGCAGTATTTGTTTTTCCATTACTGAGCTAATTTATTTAATATGATGTTCTCCATCTCCACCCATGTTACTGTAGAGAGGACATGATTTCATTCTTTTTCTGGCTGCTTGAAGTATATGAGTTATTAAGAAGTAAATAGAAGCAACCAGTAATAGATTTTTGAGAATTTAAATTATAACATTAAGATACTGCTATATATTTACAGATTTTTTTCAAATCTTCTAAAAATAATACCAATGAAGTTTAGAATTTAAGCCATTTTTGTTATTTCACTGAGTTTGAATAACATACTATCTGTGCGTAGAAAAACCAATATATATTGTTTTCCAGGTTCAGAAAGCTTGTTACCCTGAAATCCTAATAATCATATGAATGTGTTATAATCCACAAGAGTGATGAACATTATGAAAGTTTAAAATATGAATTGTCCGTGCAGTTGTTGGAATTTTTATATTGAATAGGTTAAAAAAATACTCACCAGGATTTTGTGAACACTATGTACAATATGCAGATAATGCAGTTTCCTTGTATTTTCTTGGGAACACATGAGACTATAAAAGCAGTCTAGTATTAAGTAGTTATAGGGCACTATAACACCATTGCCTTGTAAAGAAGCTCTCATGACCAGGAACAAATAATACACTTGTTATAAAAGTAGTTAGGGTGGACACGAAAGTGAATGTTTTGACCCTGGTTGTTGTTCTTGACAGAGGTAGTTAGAACTTTCCTTTGGTTAGTTCAGTTTGGTCTTGAAATTTACATTTGTAATATTTTGGAATTTTTTTCTTTATCAGCTAATGATGTAACTGGCTTAAGAGAATCTGAAGAAAAACTAAAGCAACAACAGCAGGAGTCAGCACGCAGAGAAAACATCCTTGTCATGCGACTAGCAACCAAGGAACAAGAGATGCAAGAGTGTACTGTAAGTATTTCAAGTTATGTAAGTCTTCAGTTGAGAAATTGGTTTTTAATCTACATTATTACATGTTAATTTTAAATACTTAATGCTAAATATAAGAGCATATTTTGTTAAGGTACATACACTTTGAACTGTAGGTCTACTAGATGTAAGATTGTGGTATCAAATAGTGTCTCATTTAGATAAAATATCTTTTTTGTAGCCAGAAGCCAAAAATTTTGAGCTTTTCTTTTAAATTCCCATGCTTTATGAGAGTTAAAATAGCGATTCCAGGTATTTTTCAGATAGCCTGATATCTGAGGGTGTAATTGATAGAGTCTTGACTGCTTATTACTTCTTCTAGCTAGATAAGCTATCTGATTATTTTATTTTCCCTTCTGCTCTCTCGACCTCTCTGTACAGAACAGGAACTGGTTTTCCTAGTGTCATCAACTTCTACAGTGTCCTCTTTTTAATTGTTAGAAACTTTATTTTTTGCCGGGCTCGGTAGCTCAGCCTGTAATCCCAGTGCTTTGGAAGGCCAAGGGGAGTGAGTGGATTGCCTGAGCCCACGGGTTTGAGACCCCCCCGGGCAACTTGGCAAGACCTCATCTCTACAATAAATCAAAAATTAGGCGGGCATGGTAGCGTGCACCTGTAATTCCTTACTTGGAAGGCTGAGGCGGAAGGATCACCAGACTCCGAGCCCAGCGGGTCAAGGCTGCGGTGACTGGGAGCGTGCCACTGCCCTCTAATCTGGGCGACAGTGAGACTCCGACTTTTTTTTTTTTGAGTCAGAGTCTCACTCTGTCACCCAGGCTGGAATGCAGTGGCACGCTGCTCATGGCCACCACAGCCTCGACCTGCTGGGCTCAGACGATCCTTCCATCTCAGCCTTCCAGGTAACTGGAACCACAGGCATGCACTATCACGCCCGGCAAATTTTTAGATTTATTGTAGAGACGAGGTCTCGCCATGTTGCTCTGGCTGGTCTTGAACCCCTGAGCTCAGGCAATCCTCTTGCTGCCTCTTTATTTGTACTGTTTACCGATCTGAAATCCAGTGACATGTGATCATCTAGCTCTGGTAATTTAGACTTATTCTTATGGTATCTTTGACAGACAGTCTTGACTTTTTTTTTTAAGTTTGTATATAAAATCACATTTAAAAAATGAGAGGCAGCTCTCTCTTGTTTCTAATTTTAAAATCTGAACATTTCTTCAACTCTGTATACTCTCCATTTATTTGGTATACTTTTTTTTTTTTTTTTTTTTTTGAGTTGGAGTCTCACTCTGTCGCCCAGACTGGAGTGCCGTGGCCGCTCCCGGCCACCGCAGCCTCGACCTGCTGGGCTCTGGCGATCCTTCCGCCTCAGCCTTCCGAGTAGCCGGAATTACAGGCATGCGCTACCACGCCCGGCTGATATTTTGATTTATTGTAGAGATGAGGTCTCGC